GGGGGGGTGTGGTGAGGGGGAAGCCCAGAGGAACCGGGGGGCTGCGTTTGGGCAGGAGATGGGGAGGGTGCAGGAGTGGGCACCCCCGCGGGCTGGAGACCCCTCACTGCTGGTCCACCATCTGGTGCTGAGCCCTCCAAACAAACCAGCAACCGGAGGGGACCGCTGCCAAACCAGCTCTGAAGAGCTGGATTGACTGAGCCACCTCTGTCAGGAAGGGCTGCAGTTTCCCTAGCGAGGAGATAAAGAACATAATATCGAGCTTAAATTGGAAAGGCAGCTTTGAAATGTCCTCAGTGAGGCGGCTCTCCCCCCACCCCCCAAAAAAAACATGCGTGAAGGGTGCGAGGGGACGGCTGCCAGCGCAGGGCAGGACAGGGGAACCTCTGTCCCCCTCGCCTGCCCAGCGCTCGGTCCCTGAGATGTCTCATTCTTCCCCCCACAGGCCTTGGGGGGCGGGTACCTTCACTGGGGCCACTTTGAGATGATCCGCCTGACCATCGGCCGCAGCATGGACCCCAAGACCATGTTTGCCATCTGGCGCGTGCCGGCCCCTTCTAAGCCGGTGACACGGAAGAGCCTGGGGCATCGTATGGGGGGCGGCAAGGGCCCCATCGACCACTACGTGACGGCGGTGAAGAGCGGGCGGCTGGTGGTGGAGGTAGGTGGGCGCTGCGAGTTTGAGGAGGTAAAACCCTTCCTCACCCAGGTGGCCAGGAAATTGCCCTTCCCTGCCATCCCCATCAGCCGCGATGGCCTCGAGCAGATGCGGCAGGAGGAGGAGGAGAAGAGGCTCAACAACCAAAATCCCTGGACTTTCGAGCGCATAGTCACCGCCAACATGCTGGGGATGCGCAAGTACCTCAGCCCCTATGACCTGCAGCTCAAAGGACGCTACTGGGGCAAATTCTTCCTGAAACACAGGCTGTAACAAGCAACTGGGGAGGGGGCTGCCTTAATTAAACCTTCCCACAAGAACCTGCATCGGTCGCTGTGGTTTTTGGATGCGCAAACGTGGGACCAGGAGCATCCCAGAGGTGAAGCATGCATCAGGGCTTGTCTCCCACTACCGAGACCCCACACACACACCCCGACGCAGAGCATGGGTGATCTCTTTATTCAGGAGGAGGGCTCCGGCACGGGTGGCTGCACATCCGAAGAGCCGGCAAGACAGAGAAGTTGCTGCAGATGAGCTCTGAGCAAAGGGAGAGGCTCCTCCTTCCACCCTGAGCAAGGCAGAGCCCTCTACGTCGCCTGCACACTGCCCCGGGGAGGAACACAGCTCTTTCGGCTGCTCTGTGCTGCCGAGGAGGGGGCTGCTCTTCGCAGGGGCTGCTGACTGTCAGCCAAATGGAGGATGGGGAGCGAGGGGAGACCTTGGGGCATTTGCCCGGTGGTGGGAGGGAAGGGTGGAGCAGGGGAGGTGGTCTCCACTCCTCCGGGCTGCGGTGCAGGGATGTCCTCGGGGCTCCGGGGACGAGGGCTTGGCAGGCGGGTCCTGGGGCCGGTGGTCGGGGTCTCTCCAATGGCTGGAGCCGCAGGCGGGATCATCCGGGCGGTGGGGCAGGAGGGGGAAAGGCCACCTGCAATGGGGAGGAAGATGAGGTGCTGCTGAGGAAGGGGATGTGGCTGCCTGGGGACGCTCGGTCTCTTCTGGCGCCTTACAGACGTGCTGGCAAGTCCAAGGGGGGTGAATCCCACCCGGCTCAACCCCGCCGAGGTCTGAACCCACTCCCTGGGTGTGGGGGTGGTACCGGGGACCCCGACTGCCCCCCCCTCCCGGCGTGCGCCTGGTCACCTGGAGGGCAGCGGGTTGGGGTCTCAGGCGAAGATGCTCCCAATGCTGGCAGCCAAGATGATGGCGAGGATGATGCAGCATATCATGATCATGATCTTCTTCTGCACGGGGAGAGAGGGGCGGTGAGGCAGGGCCGCGGGTGGCACGGGGCTGGGGAGGGGGGACAAGGGACAGGGACAGAGGCTGGGGAGGCAGCAGGGTAGGTGTGAGCTGGTTGTGTGTAGCACCGGGACGTGGCTGTGCCGGTGTCCCCCTGGGACAGGCGGCCAAGTGCCAGCACACAGTGGGGACATGTCCCCATTGCCGTGACTTACCCAAAACCGTGGGGGGAAGAGGGTCTGGCCCGGCCTGGCAGAGCCCGTGGGGCTTGAGGGTGTCCCCAGCCCCACGCTCCCCTGTCACGTCTTCGCCCCAAGGGGCTGTGTCACTACAGCACCTGAAAACGGGGGCCGGTCCCAGACCCCGGGTCCTCAACTAAAGCCACCAGCCCAGCCGTGATGCCACAGCCACCGCGAGCTGAGCCAGAGCCATGCTCAGCCCAGGGGCAGCCCCCCACTGCTTGGGGTGTCTGGGGGTACCAGCACCCCGCTCGTCCCTGCAGTGGGCCCAGCATCGTGTTGCGCACGGAGAGGAGAGGCGCAGGGTGGGCGTCAGCAGGGATCTTTATTTTAACAGGAATTAAATAACGGTGACCGCTGCGTCCTCCAGCCCCAGCTCCCCGCAACACCGGGGCAGTCAGTGTTGGGGGACCTACCAACCGCAGACATCAAGGCCAAGAGGGGACAGGGTCCCCGGCAGCTCCGTCTGCCGCGGCATGGTGGACAGCAAAGCGTGGCCAGACCTGCCGGCAGCTGCTGGTGCCACCAAACCCCCTGTCCTGACTGTATCCCCGTCCCTCATCCTCCCAGGATGCCCATGCGGGTGAGGGTCCAGCCCTCGCCTGCCCAGAGCAAGGCACGTCGCCTCCTCTCGCTGGGGTCGTGGCACTGGCTGCCACATCCCCACGGTGCCACAGTGCCGGCATAGCCCCCAGCCTCCTCGCTCCCCCCAGCAAGAGATGGGGGACCAGGAGGAGTTGATTTATCAGCAAAGGGAAAATAAATAGTTGAGTCCTGTCCCCTTCCCGCGGTGGACATGAGGACAAGAGGGGAAGACCCCAGGGACTGGCAGGACAGCAGGGGCCGCAGGGGATGGTCTGGTGAGGGAGAGCACTCCGGCGTCAGGGTCTCTCCGTG